TGCTCTGCTTGTGGGGTTCGTCGTCATCTTCGCTTGGTATGTCGAGCCCCTTGTGTTCGGTGTTGAGTTTGCCGGATTGCTTGAAGACCCAACAATCTCTATGGGTGTGGTTTGCAGGCCTCCCGGGAGTACTATGAATTTGGCATATTTTGTCCAAGATTTTGTTGAGGTTAGATAGCTCGTCACTATTATCTTTGGGGGGCGGCTTTTTCTGATTCTGCCGAGAGCTTTTGAATCCGGCGTTGACTGTCATGCTCTTCGGGCTGTTATCCTTGATCCGGCGCTGTTCCTTGCTACAGCGCGGTTTCCCATTTCCATCTCTGACTTCGGATGTACTTGGGTCGCTGGTGCTGCTTCTTGCCAACCAGCTATCCTCTCCTACGCAAAAGCGGGTCATGAGGCTTGTCAATGCGGCCATTGTTCTTGGCTTTTCTTGGCCAAGGTGTCTGGCGAGCCATTCGTCTTGAACGCTATGTTTGAAAGCTGTTAGGGCTTCGGCGTCCGGACAGTCGACTATCTGATTCTTTTTAGTAAGAAATCTATTCCAGAGTTTTCGGGCTGACTCTCCGGGTTGTTGAATTATATGACTTAGATCGTCTGCATCCAGAGGTCGGACATAGGTCCCTTGAAAATTTGCCCGAAAAGCATCCTCGAGCTCTTCCCAACTTCCTATGGTGTTTTCGGGAAGGCTTTTAAGCCAATGCCGGGCTGGCCCTTTGAGCTTGAGGGGTAAGTATTTTACAGCGTGGAGGTCATCACCTCTAGCCATATGTATGTGGAGGATATAATCCTCAATCCAGACTCCAGGGTCTGTTGTTCCGTCGTATGCCTCTATGTTTACGGGCTTGAATCCCGCTGGAAATTCATGGTCCAGCACCTCATCGGTGAAACATAGGGGATGTGCGGCGCCCCTGTATTTGGGTGTGCCGCGATGTTCGGATATTTGTTGCGTTTGCTTACTAGAGCTTGCTTTCTTGGCCCGTAGATAGATCTGGTTGGGCCGTCTTTTTGATGCGAATCCTTGTGTGGATCGCGTGCCGGATTGAGCGCGGCGCTCTTTGCCGCTCTATGTCGGTCATGGGGTCGTCTATCCGACCTGGTGGCTTCCTTGCTTTTTGACTGTGGGGGCTCTAAGGCCTCCTCATCAAATTCCGGTAGTAATTTTCGCTTCGGATAGCTCTTTGTGTGGTGACTGTCGCCGTACTTGTGTGCGGTGTTGAGTACTTTGCCCCATCTGATTCTGAGTGCATCTTCCGCTGTTTTGAGCTTCCGCTTCTGCTTTTTCAGGCTACGCGCAGTGGCGACGAGCCTTTGGTGGAGGTTCTTCTGCTCCAGCAACTTGTCCGGCGTGAGGTCGTCCGGACTATTATTTTCGCCGGGGACGGGTTGTTCGGTTTGTTTATCCAAGTTGCCCTGTTCGGATGGTTGCTCGACGGCATGTTCGTCGTCCGCCGGTTCGCCCCGCTCTATGGCTGGGTCTCTGTCGAGGTGGGGTTTGGCGTGGCGCTTACGCCGCCGCTTTGATTGCTTTTCGAGGGAACGATTCCTCGTTGCGCCCTTTTGATCCTCGTCGTCGTTTCTTTTAGGTGTGTCCACCATGCATACATCATGGGATGAGGTGGTTGTCCAGTGCCCTATAGGCACTGGTTCTTGTTCGTCTCCTTCATCGGCGTCCATACTGTCGATGTCTTCTGAGTCGAAGTCGAGCATGTCGGTTAAATCATCGACAGTGGCTACGAAGTGGGTGGTGGGTGGGTTTCGAATTTCTTCGTCGTCCGCGTCCCAACCTTGCTGACCATAGTCCGGCCAGGGCTCTCTTGACAAAGAGAGAGACTTTAGTGAATTCAGGATGTCGCCAAAGGGCGAGTGCTGAAACACGTCCGCGGCAGTGAACTCCATCATCGGAGCCCAATTGGGTCCAATCGGAAGGGGTGCGGAAGGTTCGGAGTCCGGAACGGAGTCCGGCACCTTGGAGTCATGAGCTTCGCAAAGGACAAGGCTGGTATTCGACTCGATCGCCGTAGAGATTGCGGCCCCCGAGGCGGTGTCCAACCATCCGTCCTCGATTGGCGCAGTCGGCTCTGAGCTAAGGGTCGGAGCGGACACCTGAGCGGCCTTCTGGACACTGTCCGGCGGCAAAGCTAGATCATGCCCATCGTGACAGTGTGGCATGCTCGGCTGTGGCTCGAATCCGTCGAAGATCAAGTCTCCGCGGATGTCAGCCGTGTAGTTCAAACTTCCAAATCTGACCTGATGGTCAGGGGCGTAGCTTTCGATCTGCTCCAGATGGCCAAGTGAATTGGCCCACAGTGCAAAGCCGCCGAATACGAAGATCTGTCCGGGGAGAAAAGTCTCACCCTAGACCGCGTTGTTGTTGATGATCGAAGAAGCCATCGGGCCTAAAGGTGACGACACAGAGGAACTCTCAATGAAAGCACCAATGTCGGTGTCAAAACCGGCGGATCTCGGGTAGGGGGTCCCGAATTGTGTGTCTAGGCGGATGGTAACATGAGACAAGGGACACGATGTTTTTACCCAGGTTCGGGCCCTCTCGATGGAGGTAAAACCCTACTCTTGCTTGATTAATATTGATGATATGGGTAGTACAAGAGTAGATCTACCACGAGATCAGAGAGGCTAAACCCTAGAAGCTAGCCTATGGTATGATTGTTGTTCGTCCTACGGACTAAAACCCTCCGGTTTATATAGACACCGGAGAGGGCTAGGGTTACACATAGTCGGTTACAATGGGAGGAGATCTACATATCCGTATCGCCAAGCTTGCCTTCCACGCCAAGGAAAGTCCCATCCAAACACGGACGAAGTCTTCAATTTTGTATCTTCATAGTCCAGGAGTCCGGCCAAAGGTCATAGTCCGGCCATCCGGACACCCCCTAATCCAGGACTCCCTCAGTGGAGATTTCTTGTTTTCCTCTATTCTTGTACTGTAGATTATTATGCTGACAGAGAATGTAGCAAACGAAATTACTGCACAGTTTTTTGAAGAAATTAGTGCACTTCTTTTTAAGATAAGACAGTGTAGTAGTAGTGTTTGGAGTTTCAGAAGGGAGGCAATTTGGTTTGTGACTGCACATTTTTTTAAAGAAATTACTGCACAGTTTTTTAAAGAAATTACTAAACATCTTTTTTTAAAATACTTGAGATTACTCTTGTGTTTGTCTTGCCTTGTGACTGTTTCAAACTGCAAATAAATTGTTTGCTCATCGGACTTTGTTGTGAGTTTTTCTCTTCCACGGAAACTCTCTATTCGGTCTGGAAGTTTCTGTATTCTGTTGGTCTTGATGTAGCTTTAACAAGGCCATGAAATAATTCATACTATTTCTTCATTGTACTTTTTCCTTTGCAAACAGTCTTCAGCCTCTGTTGGTCTTGATGTAGCTCTAACAAGGCCATGATATAATTCCTTGAAATATACCCGATTGTTCTTGTGCTCTTAATATCATTTACTTGAAATATACCTGGTCATTTACTTGTACATAAATACTCCCTCTGTCAACTGGCTCCTCTGTTTGTGGGTCTTGGAATTGAAATTGAATGAGAAATATCTGCATTGAATTGAATTGAGATATAATTTTGTCAACAGTAGCAACATTACCTTGTTTTCTTCAGTATCATCAGTTTTTTTCTGGAGTCATTAAACCAGGTTGAGAAGTGGAACAAAACAGAGGAGGAATGAGACGTTTGCAGGGTCCCTCGAAGTCGTCTATTTGAGAGTCTCGTCAGTTGCTTTTGTGTCGGTTCTATTGTTGTCAGCATGCTTAAATGTACGCATGTCTTATGTATTCTCAGCATGCTTAAATGTACGCATGTCTTTCCTTGGACTTGTGAATGCTGAAAATGTACGAGATATTTTTGGTTCCAAGTCATGCTGATGTGAGAGATTATGTTGCTGTTATGTGACATTGCAATTATGTGATGACATATTGGTTCCAAGTCAAGCAAATTATGTTGTTCATGTGAAGAACTGTTGCAAGATTAGATTTTTAACCGTTTTACACCATTTTAGTTCAATATGAAAATCCCTCCGTGTCAAACAATGTTCTCTATGGAGGGGAATTTGAGGGATGTGTGGTTGGAGGGGGATTTGAGGTTTCAAGAGAATTGGATGGAAGAGGGGGATTCACCAAATCCCCTGGAATCCTCTCCACTCCAACCCTCCACAATCCCTTACTGTCAAACAAGGCCTAAATGCTTTCCTCTCTGCTCCAAAGCCATTGCTATGGAGCCGAGTTCGCTACGAAAACCCCGCAATATCCCTTCAATCCAGGGACCAAGGGTGAGCACAGGTAGCAGAAGCAAAAGATAAGATCCCTAAAAAAAGTTAACAAGATGGATACAGTAAAGAAGTTAACGACAAGATGGTAGATGGGCACAGTAAGAAAGAACTTGCACACTTCCATTTATTGTCCTTTCTGCGAGAAGCGTCTTTGCCCCTTTTCCCGGTCTTGTGAAGTCCTACTCCTGTAGCCCCTGCCCGCCGGGCGCGGGGCCACCCACACCCACATGCGAGAACCCAACCAAAGCTAGAGCCAGTCAAGTCCGCGTGACCTTCCCATCCGACGGTTCAGGTCGCGCCCGCACCAAGCGCCGCAGCATCCCGGCCGTCCACCTACACAAACACACAGCACCTCCCCTCCACCCTCCCTCCCTTCCCTGCCCTCTCCTTGCCCCAAAGTACACAGCGCCCACGCAGAACCAGCGTCTCCGTCCGGGCCCACTCGTCAGCCTCACTGACATACCCACTACCCACACCGTCGCGCAGGCCTCCCCTGGACTCCTACTCTCTCTCTCTCTCTAGCCGATTTCGCATGCACCGGCAGCGGCGGCCGTCTCCAGGATCAAGAACCCCAATTTTTTTCCCCTTCTCTTTTCCCCCGCCGGTTCTTCTTGCCGTCGCCGCTCGCCTGAGAAGAAGGGAGGGTTCTCGCTGCCGCTTCGTCCTTGCATTTGTGTGAGAGCGCTTGTGAGCGGGGGAGGCCATGGCGGATCCGGACGCCGACGAGAGCCCGGACTTGTGGCAGCTCTTCTGCCACTACGACCGGCTCTACTTCCGCGGCGAGCTCGACGCCGCCGCCTTCGCCGTCGAGTGGGCCTACCCGCGCATGAGGACGACCACGTACGTGCGCCTCTTGCACTCCCCGTTTCTTTGATTTTGGGGGTTGGGGCGGGGGCAGGTAGGTTCTTGTTGGAGCCCCCCGTAGGCGATGCCTTGCCCATCTAATTTGTTTTACCGTCTTCCAAGAACAGTCCTGCCTAGGATCGTGGTGCTTTGGATTCTTCCCAATCTCCTCAAAGACAAACGTTTCATTGTTTAGCATTTGACGCCTCGATTCACATAAAAGACGCCCTTTTTTTCTTCTTCGTTCGATTCTTCGTAATCTTGCCTTCCATTCCCTTTTCTCCATGTGGGAAGCTGGGTGCTTCCGAGGGAATCGTGTAAAATGTTCAGATTTCCGAGGGTTGTTGTTCTTCAAATAAGTTTTTTTTTTTGCGTGTGTCGTAGAGTTCGCTCCAACATAGATGGTGCCCGAAGTTTATTTTCCCCGTTGGTGTTCGAGATTAAAAAAACTTAATAATAGGATTACAAACCCATGTTTCGTAAGGCGTAAATACACGTGCATTGCAGACTCTGCTTAAGGTTATTGCTTCGCTGTACATATCTATTCACAGTGCAAAAATGCCTAGGAAAAGGAAATGATTCATTGGCTATTGCGGCATTAAGTCAAATTGGTGTATTTAAAATTTTGCATGTGTGTATATGGATACAGGAAAAAATAAGTATTCCTACAAAAATTATTGTTTGTGCCCCAGATGCTATTTACAGTAAGGTACTTCAGATCTTGTTGTGTTTTCTTTTTGTTGTTGTTGTTGTTGCTTTCAAATATACTCCCATTGACTGCTTGGTTGAGCTAAGCTCAACAATCATTTTTGTAGATGGCAGCACATCCTTAATGAGCTTATTATTGCATTAGCTAGATATACTTTAACAAGAGCATTTTCTTACTATATGTTCATTCTGGACTATAAATGTGTGTTATATACTGCTGTTCTGCTCAATTATTAAATTGTCTTTGCACAGTTTATATGAATATAAAATAAAGAAAGCACTGATTTGATTGTCTATAAGCAGTTGTTGACTTGTTTCTGATCCTGTTCCTTTGGAGCCATGAGCAAAACCATAACACTCTATGACTTCAAACCTTGATTTTCTTTTTCAAATATAGCATTTTCCCCATTGACTGCTTGCTTGAGCTAAGCTCAACGTCCATTTTTATAGATGACAATAAATGCTCCCTCCGTCCCATAATGCTCTTATATTATAGTGTCAAAAACGCTCTTACATTATGGGACGGAGGGAGTACATCCCAAATGAGCTCATTATCACATTAGCTAGATATACTTCAACAAGAGCATTTTCTTACTATATGTTGATTCTGGACTATAAAATGTGTGTTATATACTGTTCTGCTCAATTATTAAATTGTGTTTGCGACATTTGTATGAAAATAAAATAAAGAAAAACAGAAAGCACTGATTTGATTGTTTATAAGCAGTTGTTTTGGATCCTGTTCCTTTGAAGACATGAGCAAAACCATAACACTCTATGACTTCAAATATTATTTATTTTTTCAAATATAGTAGAATTTTCCCCATTGTCTGCTTGCTTGAGCTAAGCTCAACATTCATTTTTTATAGATGGCAACACAATGAGCTCATTATTGCATTAGCTGGATAGACTTTAGCAAGAGCATTTTCTTACTATATGTTGATTCTGGACTATAAAATGTGTGTTATGTAGTGTTGTGCTCAACTATCAAATTGTGTTTGGAAAGTTTATATGAAAGTAAAATAAAGAAAGCACTGATTTGATTGTCTATAAGCAGTTGCTTCGGATCCTGTTCCTTTGGAGACCTGAGCAAAATAATACTCTATGAGCCAATGCTGCAATGTCGCACAAATGCTGATATGAAGAACGCCCTGCTGCATCTGATGATTCATGCAATCATATTTCTAAAGCATGGTATGAAGAACCTCGGGTAAATGCTTATTCCTTTTAGCTAAGATTGCGTGTTCAAATTTTAGTCATTGCCCAGCCTGCCTGTAGCTTAATTTTTCTGTGCATTCATGTACCCAGCCATGGTCCTGTTTTCCGTGATTGGATGGATGCTATCAACACTTGCACCGCTGAGGATCGCATGGTTAGTATTTTCTGGCAGCTATATTTTTAACCATCGCGGCCCATTGATGATTTGGATTTATGCTTGCGCCACCCTACCCAGAGACCGACAGGTGGCTACTGTATCACCACTACCCATGATTTCAGTGAGGAAAAATCCTGCAACATCCAGGGGATTCCGTGGAAGGTACTGCTTTCCATAGTTCTCTTTTTATTGTTTCCTTTTTGTTAAATTTCTTTCTAGTTTACCTCTTACTAGCATGTTCAAATTGTTAAATTTCAGTGTGAACAGTGTGGCGTTACACTTCTGAGGGCAACGAATTTGGGACCTCCATCTGATTCCTGCTGTATCGAGAATGTTAGCGGAGATGCAACCTGTGACAACATGCTTTGCCAGTGGCACAAGTAAGACTGCATAAGTTTACCCTGACATATAACTCATGATGTTTATCGATATAGTTGTAAAGTTGCACCTTACATTCTTAATTGTTGTTTTCTCCCACAAAGTCGATAAAGATATGCCCTTGGACTCTGGGTGGTGCATTTCTTCTTGTTAATTGCTCTCTATCATTTAGATGCAGAATAACCTCTCAAACTCATAATTAGATGCATATGCCACTTGTTTGTTATTTTTAATACTCTCCATGACTTCTCTTAATGTATTTCTAGATAATATTTACTTTTGACTAATGTTTGCATGGTGAACTTCAAAGGTGTATTGACTGATGCTATTTTCTGCAGCCACAAGACGAATTGTGGTGGTACATATGTGGTAACCAAACCACGAGGGCAAAGGATGGTTCGAAAAGGTACAGTCAGAATCAAGTATCTAATGCACTTTTGGTTATAAGCTCTGAACTAACCATAAAGAGTATCAAAGTCAAACTTGGATCCCGTGCTTCAGTTTTACTATTACGCAATCCACCTAAATTTTGTTTGGTTTACGACTATTCTTGCATTCTTGTATCTTAATTTTTCAGCATACAACTGTCAGTGCCCACATTTTATTTTTAATTCTGTAGTTTGATGCATTCAAGAATCAAGATAGTTGCCCTGTATTATAAAATTCTTTGCTGATGTTGTAGGTGTTTATCTATTATATATTCTTTATGCTATACAATTAAGTGAAAAAGCAAGATGTTTGTGTCAGGAGTGGCACTGAAACTAAAACCATGATATCTGACAAAAAATAGATCATCTGTTGCCTTACGAATGAAGGATCAAGTCCACTGTATGGTAACTCCAGAACACTTACACTTGAGTAACTTGGTGGGTCGTGTAAACATGTTGCTATAGTGATTTTTTTGCTTAATCATTTCATTATGTGAACTTTGGTACTTCCAACACTAGTGTGAAATATTGTTCGCCAACAAGAACGTAGACTTTAAAACCAAAGACAATTCTTGCTATAGGTAACTTGTTATTGTAGTAAATTCATGTTGCCACATCAACTTACAACATGGCTTCTTCAGGTGGAGAGTTGCTTCTTCAGACTGGAACAACTGAAATGACCAAGTCACAAGGAGCTGTACAACAATCAGATTCAGATGAAGTGCAGAAAGCAATTGTTTTGTCTGCAGCCCCTCGGAGTCGGAGAAGATTGAAGCCGAAGCAAGAGTTTGTTGCATGGGAGAATATTGAACTTTTGTCTATGGGGAGTCGCAGTAATGCAAAATCAGTGGGTAGTAGCTCCTCAAAGAAGGCAGAGGATGTCCTTTCGAGCCAACTGAAACGGAAGCAAACATCTGTTACATCAGAGAAGCATGGGTTTCTCTCACTAGGGAGTTGCGACAATGCAAAATCGTCGGGAAGTAACACCTCCAGGAAGGCAGGAAATTTGCATGAGCCAGACGATGTTAAGCCTTATGCATCCCAGAAAAAATTGAAGCTAGTGCAGGACTTGGCCGCATCGGAGAAATATGGAGCTTTCTCTCTAGGGACTTGCAACAGTGCAAAACCACCACGAAGCAGCACGTCCAGGAATGCAGAGAAGTGGTGCAAGTCCGAGGGTGTTGAGAAATCCACTGTCCCGTGGCCTGCTGCGCCCCCTCATAAAATGAAGCTTGAGCAAGACTCTGTTACATTCCAGAAACATGGGGTTGCAAAACCATCAAAAAGTATCACCCCAGACAGAGTAGGCAAGCTGCATAAGCCGGATCGTGTTGAGAACTCCGGTGTCCCGCCTTCCACGCCCCTAAAAAAACTGAAGCTAGATAAGGACCCGGTTGCACCCGAGAAACATGGGGTGGCAACATCAAGAAGCCTACCTGCTGCACCTCCCACAAAGCTGAAGCCAGTCTTGGTTGCATCGGAGAAGAGTTTTGGTTGCGGCAATGCAAAAGTACCGGACAACATCTCCTCACAGATGGCACACAAGAAACTTGAGCATGGAGGGGCTCAGAAGCACATTTCTCTGCATGCTGCCCCTCAAACTATGCTGAAGCAACCGAACAAAACCAGCTCCACAGTGAAGGCACCAAAGCAACATAAGTTTGAAGACTTTCGGAAAGCAACTGTTCAGCCTGCCGTCCCTCAGAGTAAACTGAAGCAATCAAACCGTGCTGCTGAATCGGAGAGGCAAAAGACAAGGAGCAAAACCAAGAGTTGTGCTAGGAAAAAAGAGTATGTTTGCTTTAGTCTGTGGCAGAACTTCTATGAACCGGAATGCTCGAGTGGATCGGACGAGCCGCTTGTAAACAAGAGAAGTGTGCGGAGAAAAAGAGAGAGGGAACGCGCAGTTCAGATCACATATTCACGGTCAAGGAAGCAAAGCACCAGTGGGATCAGCTCCATCAAGGCCAAACTAGATGAGGAAATCTCAGCTGGACACTTGGAGATCATTGTTATCGATGATGAGGTGATGACTGAAGCCCCTGGAGAACAGTGCAAGGCACCAACTCCATGCATGAACGCTCCTGTCGTCCCACCCACTGATCAGGTGACGACTGAAGCCCCTAGAGGTCAGTCCAAGCCACCAGTTCCATCCAAGGACGTTCCTCCCACTGATCAGGTGATGACTGAAGCCCCTGGAGGTCAGTCCAAGCCACCAGCTCCATCCAAGGACGTTCCTGCTGTCCCTCCCACTGATCAGGTGATGACTGAAGCCCCTGGAGGTCAGTCCAAGCCACCAGCTCCATCCAAGGACGTTCCTGCTGTCCCTCCCACTGATCAGGTGATGACTCAAACCCCTAGAGGCCAGTCCCAGCCATCAGCACAGCGCATGGACACTGCCGTCCCTCCTGCGGACCACGGAGACCGGTCCGATCCATCTACTATCATGGACATTGCTGCCGTGCCTCCAGCTATGACCCAAGCCCCTATGGACCAGCCACAGCCACCAGCTCCTTGCTCCATCGCCGCTGATCAGGTGGTTCCACCTTGTTCGGCCGACCTGCCCGGTTTACCTCCTTCAAATCCAAGCAGTTGGGCTGGCGTGATAGACATTTCTGATGATGATGATGATGACGACGACGAATGAACTCCTTTTCCATCACTATATATACTCTGCTTATTCTGGATTAAACTGCTGATCAGTGATTTACCATAGATAGGTACTAGTAACTTATCAACTGTCGTTTCATTAAATTCTGCTGTGGAGGCATAGAGCTCTGATCTGAACGGCGAAACATCCTCCTATAGATGACTTTCTGTAGTATTTTGTGAGACGGTGGCTTGGGCATGGTGAACTGAAGCATGGAGTTAGCTGCACTGCAATGCTGAAGCATGCGCTGTAATTTTTTGTGAGACGGTGGCCTGGGCATGGTGAACTGAAGCATGGAGGCTTGTTGTACTCGCTGGATCATTTGCGCCATGTCGTCTATCATTCTTCTTGCTTCGAGAAAATCTCAGTGTCTAATACTGTGGTAAATTGGTTATTGTTGCTCCACATCTACTCCCTCCGTCTCATAATATAAGAGCGTTTTGACATTACACTAGTGTCAAAAACGGTCTTATATTATAGGACGGACGGAGTATCATTCTGCGTGCCGTGTTACTGGTTATATTGTTGCTCCTTGCTTTCCATGGTATTTTTGTGAACATGCCATTTGCTTGTGAAACGTATGTTCATATGACACTGCCATATGCACCATTGAAATGCATCCTACTGCTATCCTGGGTCAAATAGAGACGAGCATGGGAACGGAAGGGTGAAGAGAAACGGATAGAATGTGGATTGTACATGCTCGCTGATATACGTACTTCTCAGCCGGAGCCATGGTATGAAAGCTCTGGAAGTTACCTTGCGGAGATACTGTATTTTTGGAAGACGGTCCCCATCGACGACCAGATGCGGTGGATCGATCGGCCGCCACGCACGCACGGTTCATGCGCGCGTCCAACCGAAGGTGTCTCGACGGAGACCCGCGACGGATTTGAGCCAGAGTGATACGGAGCATCCCACGTTTATCCCCATGTACACTCTGACTACTCTCCAAATCCTAAGAGGACTTATGACGAGACCTCAACTATATGTCATTGGACACAAGGTGAACTCAGCTCCTCTCTGAACCTTCACTTCTCACATGTGAGACATGGTTATTACCTCATATATATGTGCTATGCATGACCAAAAACAAGGAGGAAGACCATGGACAAGACGGCGAGGACACCAAGTATAAGGACCAAGAGAAGAAGTTGCCCGAAGCTACAACGGTCGGACGTCCGACCGGACGTCCGACGACTCCCAGGCTCCGGACGACCGGCCCCCTCCGGACGACCGTGCCAGCGACCACCGAACCGAATCTGCGGACATCCGAAGAACTCCGGACGTCCGGGACCCCGCGAGCCTCCGGACGATCGCCCCCCTCCGGACGTCCGACCGAAGCGCACCCGAGCCGAATCTACAGAAGTCCGAAGAGCACCGGACGTCCGGACCTTCCCGAGCCTCCGGACGATCGGAACCCTCCGGACGTCCGACGCCTGTCTGCGCACAGTGTGTTGGGCCGCAGCCCATGTACCCCTTCACTTACCCCTTCGTGGCCCTAGACTATATATACTCCTCCACCTCCTCCTAGTTAGATTTAGTGTTGATTTAGCTCAATTAGAGATAGAACTTCGCTCATCCACCGGATCTCCTCCTCGTGAGAGACCGCGGCCTCCTCGGAGAAGATCCTATCGGATTCAAGACCCCCTCGTGGGAAAATCCCCTCGTGGATTTCAAGGCCTCCTCATGGAGAAGATCGGTTACCTACGTATCCTTACCTTTGTTGACTTTGGATCTCATGTATCTCTTTGTGTTCTTTGATCTAGCACTTGTGTGACCGATTCCTTGTTGGTTGAGTGTTTTCCCTCGTTCCTCCCCATGATTTCCTCGTGTTCTTCCGTGCGTTCTTCGTGTTTCCCCGTAGGATCCACTCCAAACGTGAAAGATCGTCCACATAGGGTTCCACCCTACATCATCTTGGTATCATGAGCCACGTTGATCACGTTTTTGGAGCCCCTACCCTTTGTTTTCTAGCTTGATTTTGTTGATTTCGTCCTAAATTCGAAAATCCCCACCAAAAATAGCCCCAAATTTTTTTGTGATTTGTTGCTTTGATGATGTTTTGTTGATTTTGATCCATGGATTTGCTTGGTTTCAAGTGGATCTAGCATCTCCCCAAGTTTCTCCATCTTTCATCCACGAAATCCCGCGAATTTTGACCCCGAAATCTCCATTTTCCGCCCAAAATCGCGTCCCGAAACTCAATTTTCGCGTTGACCCCGACCCACCGGACGACCGGACTTTTACGGACGTCCGGAGCCCCAGGAACGATCGGACGTCCGACCTTTTCCGGATGACCGGAACCCCTAACCCGAGCTGAAATTACGGATTCCCGACCTTTCCGGACGTCCGACGCCCCGGACATCCGACCTTTCCGGACGTCCGTAACCTGTAGGTTTTGACTTCGGCTAATTTTTGTTTTGTCCATAACTAATTCATCCGAACTCCGATTTTGACGTTCTTTAGCTCGTTTTGAAGCTCTTGACATCCCCCTTCCCACAAAAATATCACCAACATCATTTGACTCCATCAAATTTTTGGAACTTTGGCATCTTTGCCTAGGCCTTCCACCATATCATCCGCATAGCCACCACCGACTTCCGCAACCTAACACATTTTGTTCACCATAGCATTAGTGGTTGCTTGAGTAGTGATTCGAGTCTCCTAAGGTGTTTCGTCTACTTAGGGACGATTGCTTCTTCATCAACCACCACCACCATTTCCGCATAGGCTTACCCACCATACATTTCGCCACCCCCAACTTAACCCAATAGTTGTTTGAGCTTGTTTGAGTTGTGGCTTGCGTCTCCTAAGGTGTTTCGGCTACTTGGGGACGACAACTTCAACTCCGACACGTGTATAGCCATCATTCCACCTCCGCATTGCCAAGTGCAAACCACCACCGCTTTCCGCTACCACCATTTGACATTTGTCATTCGAGATTTTGAGTTTGCGGTTTTTCCGTTTCCTAAGGTGTTTCGGCTACTTAGGGATGAGTCTCCATCATCTTGGTATCTACATCAAGAACACCGCCACTCATCATCGCAAAGGACGGTAACCTCGACGACACCATTGTATATTCTCCTTGCCATTGCATTATTAACCCCTAGCCCATTTTGCGTTACTTGCCTATAGAGACTAGCCATTTGAGTATTGCTGGCAACGTTACTTGCGCACATTAGTGATCTACACCATCTATTGCATACATACCATATCATCTTGGTATCATATCATCCATTGTGTCTCAAGTTTGTTCCCGCATATACACAATTGCTATCTTGGTTTATGCATTGTGCAAAAGTGGCCATAGAAAAAAAAGAGAAATAAAGCTTTTAAGCAAAAGAGAAAGAGCAAAGAAGCTTGTAAGCAAGTGCCATAGCATCATACCACATTGCATATAAGATTGTCATACCCGATCATCTTGGATCATCTTGAGAGAAACACCGGGAACCATACATACATAGCATACTTGGGATAGAAAGTTTATCCATTTTGCATCTTATAGGTTGTGCACAAGTGTCGTATCCACCTATGGAGCAATAGTGCTAGCGTCTCTCTTGAGTTGTGCAACACGAGCGTTTTCCGTGGATTCCACATTTTGTGCTTATTCCTTGGTTGCACGACCCCATTTATCTATCCGTGTGTGCGTTTCCGTGTGCCACGTATTGCTATTGGTCCATTTTTTTCGCTTGCGAATTTGTGAATCTCTTTCAACATTATTGACTCTTGCTAACATTTTGCATTAAATTTTTGTGCCACTATCCTCACCGAGCTTCACCATAAGCTTTACTTGTGTAGGTGTGAGAACCGACAAGGATTGGTACCAATAGTGCTATTTCATTGTCCGCGTTTGAGTGAACTTGATTCATTGTCAACATCGGTCAAGGTACATTGGTATAAGTTCTTCTCTTTCTCCCACTCATATTTGCTCGAGTCTTGTGATGGATAGGCAAGGCATTTCCTCTCCGGTCCTCAACAACAACGACGGCGTGAACAATTACATCACCAAAGCGTCTATCCTCGATCTACAATGACAAGTGCAAGGCGCACAATCAAGATCGCGAGAGCGTATCGAGAACATCTCCATCGACATTCGTCACTCTGAACAAAGGAGAAGGGACTACATCGACAAGAAGCTTGCCGCACATAAAGAGGAGCAAGATGCAAGGATGGAGGAGATTCGGACCTTGCTCAAGTCTACCTCCCCTTCATCATCTTCAAGGCGGCGACATTCAAGCCACAAGTCTTCGGAGCGCGAAAAAGATGCAAGTGCAAATCGTCCTCGTCCACATCTACCTGGCGACCACCATCACGTTCGTGATCAACATCGTCATGAAGGGCAAGTCACCTCCAAGCATCATGTGCACGACGACAATGAACGACATCTTCTACGAGCTCAAGCACGACACCGACATCATCATCATGAAGATGCTCCACAAGCGCAAATGCACAAGTCCCAACAAGCCCTACATCACGCCAAGTCGACGCTTCATGAGCACAAAAGAAGACCGCGAGACGACCACCACCAAGACGGTGCTACGACTACAACAACCACTTCGGCATCTTCGTCAAGTGCTACCAAGGCATCTTCGCCTTTGGACGTACGGCATCTTCGCCTACTTCCCACGAGTACGCCTACAATGACTTCATCAAGTCCAAGGCGACTACCTACGAGCGAGGGCGACACTTCCATCTTTGGAAGCCCCTCAAGGAAGATGGCCGAGCATGGGAAACTCCCTTCGGTCATGGAGACGAGCTACGAGGTGCCACATCATATGGGCCTCCAACAACAAGACGGCGACAAGACGGTCGAGCAAGGGCCATTCCCTTCGACTACGGCGACAAGCGTGGACCTCTTCAACAACATGAAGACGGCGCCCATATTGGACTCATACTCCGAGTCAAGCTACGCGACCACACATGGAGACATTTGCACCAACATCTCTCCGACACCCACACATGTTGAGATGCCCCAAGCGCCATGTGAGGAGAGC